AACTTCCTTCTGTGTTTATGGAGTTCCCTGCCAAGCACCAAATACATTGTTAAACCTGTTTTAGGGCCTTTAGTAAGCCCTTGCTACGAACACTAATTGCTGTGATAACCCAAATAGCATGTGAACATTATTAGTCCTGAGTACTCTTCCAGAATGACATAGAAAAGAACCTCTTAAACAAAAGTTCTCTAAAAAGGTAGAGAACTATGGTTGGCTACAGTTAAAGATTCTTATTTTAAAGTTATTTACAACTTTTATAGAAAAACTAAGTTAGTTCCAACATTAGATTAGATTTCTCATCTGCTATTTTTGTATTTTACTCACAGGGTTAGACAGACTAATATGCCTTGTCACTGGATCTCCAAGCATCAGAGATGTCATAGCCTTCCCAAAGTCCTTCCGGGGACATGACCTCATGAGCAATACCCCAGATTCTATTCCTCCTGAGGAACTGAAGCCTTATCATATCCAAGTCTCCTGGCCAACAGACTCCAGAGCAGCAAAAACTCATTGAATCATGCATACCGTGCAGAAAGTTGAGCTTTTTGGTTTTGTCCTGTTTGCGTCCCCAAAATCCTAGAGTTCTGCCACAGGTCTGACAATCAAGTCTTTACATGGAAGGAATCCAGGCAACACTCTTCATAACAGTGAAGAAGCAGAAGATACCCAATTTTGACTTGATCACATGCATCATTCGGGGTTTTTTTTTTTTTTTTTTTGGTTAGGACTTTTTTTGAAGTTCCTTTTTACTTAGAGAGGGGTGAAAGATGGCTCTTCGCTGAAATAATATAGTGGTGTAGTGTTTTCAAATCATGTTTTTCAAACCCATGATTATTCACTTAGGACACAGGTAATCAAATCATGTATGAAATGTGAAAAAATGGTTGCCCCTGTAAAACTAGTGAGTTGATAGAGTTTATTTCATCAGCCTCATCAAGAGAATCATATAAATTAAGCTTTATGACATTTCAAACATCAACATAATATAGTGAGGGGTACAGTGCAGAAAATATCACTGAAATGAGAGTCACAATTTTTTTTTCAGTGTTTCAGCCTCAGCTGAAGAGTTTCATAAACCTCTCTTATCCTCCCTTCCTGCTAATGTTGTGTAAAATACATACTTGCCCTGGCTACCTCACAGGGCTCTTGTTGCTGGAATCAGAGGAGGTAACATCTATGAGATAAAGTGAGTAAAAGTACTTTGAAAAACTATAAAGCATTTCACAAATGTGAGATGATAATATTATCCATCCATAGGTAGGTAGATGTATCTTTATAGCTTCAGATCAAACAAAACTGATATCAATAGTAAAAGTCATTCTGTTTATCAAATTTGTTTATATTTCTATGTTTAAAGATATCATTGGCCAGAATGGTACATCACACCTATAATTCCAGCACTTTGGGAGACCATGGAGGGTGGATCACTTGAGGTCAGGACTTTTGACACCAGCCTGGCAAACATAGTGAAACCCTGTCTCTACTTTTTTTTTTTTGAGATAGAGTTTCACTCTTGTTACCCAGGCTGGAGTGCAATGGCGCGATCTCGGCTCACTGCAACGTCCGCCTCCTGGGTTCAGGCAATTCTCCTGCCTCAGCCTCTTGAGTAGCTGGGATTACAGGCACATGCCACCATGCCCAGCTAATGTTTTGTATTTTTAGTAGAGATGGGTTTCACCATGTTGACCAGGATGGTCTCGATCTCTTGACCTCATGATCCACCCGCCTCGGCCTCCCAAAGTGCTGGGATTACAGGCTTGAGCCACCGCGACTGGCTTATAACTTTTTTTAATGGAGAAACAGGATCTTGGGCCAGGTGCAGTGGCTCATGCCTTGTTATTTCAGCACTTTGGAAGCCCGAGGCAGGTGGATCACGAGGTCAGGCATTCGAGACCAGCCTGGCCAATATACTGAAACCATCTCTACTAAAAATGCAAAAAAATTAGCCAGATGTGGTGGGGCGGGGGGGGGTGCCTGTAATCCCAGCTACTCAGGAGGCTGAGGCAGAAGAATCACTTGAACCATAAAAAAAAAAAAAAAAAAGCAAGAAACAGGATCTTGCTATGTTACCTGACTGATCTCAAACTCCTAAGGCTCAAACAATCCTCCCTCCTCAGCCTCTCAAGCAGCTCTTACTACAGACACCCACCACATGCCTAGCAATTTATCATTTATTAACACTAAGCACATCAGTTTTATATTCTGCCCAGTTTTGTCAGTCCTCTAATGGAAACTGTAATCTTTGTTTTAAAGTAAGCTTTACCTCCAAGTCTAATTTGTGACGCCTAGTAGACTGTAGTATGAGTGTCCCCTAGTGCAAGAAGCTTTTTCCTAAATTTGCCCTTTCACCTAATCTCATTTATGGGTGTACTACAGACCCAGAAGGTCTGCTAGCAGGGTTCTCACAGTAAAATAGGGTGTCCAACTTTACCTGCCTTTTCTTAGCAGAATTTCTAGAGATGTCCTTTTAGGCTACAGATACCAAAGGCCCTATGCCCCAGGAGCCAATCTTTTTTTGAGATGGGGGTCTCAGTCACTCAGGTTGGATTAGTGGTGCAATCACAGCTCACTGCAACCTCAATCTCTTGGGCTAAGGTGACCCACCTCAGCCTTCCAAGTAGCTGGGGCTGTAGGAGTGCACCACCATGCCTGGCTAATTTTTTTTGAGACAAAAGGGTTCTTGCCACCTTACCCAGACTGGTCTCTGGGCTCCTGGACTCAAGCAATCCATGCACTTCCCAAAGTGCTGGCGTTACAGTTGTGACCCACCACACCCAGCCACAATCCTATCTTCAATATTTCAGAGACCTAGTCACTTTAGGCATTACTCAGCTTGTCCTCCTGTGTATGAGGAAGAATGCTTATTTTGAAATCCAGTGTCACTCAGTGAGGTATGAGGGTAAATTCTGAGATGAAGTTATTTCTCAAAAATTAAGGACCTACTTACTTATAGTCAAAAACAGCCAGGACTTTGGAATTCATGCTAAACTAAAAGCAGTTTATTTCAAATTGTCTCCCCAAACGCCTAGAAAATGGGCAAATTTTTAAAAACAAGGTAAACCGTTGCCAGCTGCAACAGTAATCATTAGCTTTCAAGAGATCTTTATTGTATTAAGTTTCTCCTTGTTGAGATCTGTCAATTGTTAAATCCAATGGGATTATTTTATGCTTTTAGACTTTAGTTGAATGAAACATCTTTTCCCCTATTTCCTTCTATGAAGAACCAGAACCATCTGTGACACCGATCACATTCCCTGCTTTTTAAGCATAATTCATCCTAAAGATGCTACTTTAAATACTTATTTTAAGGAAAGTTACTTTGTAACCACTCACTTGTGGTGGCTCATGCCTATAATCCCAGCACATTGGGAGGCTGAGGCAGGTGGATCACAAGGTCAGATCAAGACCATCATGGCCAACATGGTGAAACCCCATCTCTACTAAAAACACCATCAGCCTGGCATGATGGATGGGTATCTATAATCCCAGCTACTCAGGAGGCTGAGACAGAATTGCTTGAACCTGGGAGGTGGAGGCTGTAGTGAGCCAACAACACACCACTGCACTCCAGGATGAGTGAGATTGTCACAAAACAAAAAAATTCAGATGTCAGGCACAGTAAGAAGCTCATGCCTGTAATCCCAGCACTTTTGACGGCCAGATCAAGGGGGTCAGATCACCTGTCAGTTCAAGACCAGCCTGGCAAACCCCATCTCTACTAAAAATACAAAAATTAGCCAGTCACGAGGCAGGTGCCTTTAGTCCCAGCTACTCGAGAGGCTGAGGTGTGAGAACAGCTTGAACCCAGGAGGTGGAGGTTGCAATGACCAGATACCATGCCACTGCACCCCTGCTCAGGAAACAGAAGTTGCACTAAGTTGAGATCAATGCCACTGCACTTAAGGCTAGACTCAGTCTCAAAAAATAAAGTTCAGAGACTAACCGGAAATGTATTTAAACAAGTTTTATCATTAACAGGACTAAAGTGCTTTAGCCCAGACACTAGGATTAGTAAAACCACTATTGCTAAATGTTTCCCGACAAATAAATAACCACAGCTACATAGACATTCAAATTACAATTGTCCCACCTTGAATTTTGACCCCGTGGTCCATCTTTCCCTGATAACGTAAATTTTGGCAGATTGAAGTAACCAGTTGGCCCCTTAAACCCACTTTTGGCATCCCTAAACACTTGTTTGCCAAAAACCCATATGGAATTATCACTAGTTGGACATGACTTTCTCAAAGGGAGCTCCATCAATACTTTAAACTCAAGACCAATTGACACAGGGGCCTATTAAACCCTGACAATTTGCTCATTTGGAAAATTAGGCAACATTGCACTTTATGCAGGACACCTTGTAACACCCATAAAATTTTAATTAGCTATGCTGTTAATAAAGCAAATGCCCTGGAGTTATAATAGCCTTTGAATGAGATTTGTTTACAAGTGAAGATTAAAGGATGAGCCGGGCACGGTGACTCAAGCCTGTAATCCCAGCACTTTGGGAGGCCGAGGCGGGTGGATCACAAGGTCAAGAGATCGAGACCATCCTGGTCAACATGGTAAAACCTCGTCTCTACTAAAAATACAAAACATTAGCTGGGCATGGTGGTGTGTGCCTGCAATCCCAGCTACTCAGGAGGCTGAGGCAAAAGAATTGCCTGAACCCAGGAGGTGGAGGTTGCCGTGAGCCGAGATTGCGCCATTGCACTCCAGCCTGGGTAACAAGAGCTAAACTCCGTCTCAAAAAAAAAAAAAAAGATTAACGGATGAGAAGCACTGTCCTTTCGGAAGTAATCACTCCATACTCCAAATGGATTGCAGCCATTTATTGAAATTGGAGACATTTTTTAATCTTCTTGAGACTCCATATCAGGCTGTCTACAAAGTCCACTGGGAGGCCGAGGATCATTTGAGCCCAGGAGTTTGAGGCTGTGGTGATCCTCAAAGGGCCACCGCACTACAGCCTGGGTGAGGAAAGACCCTGTCTTAGTAAATAAAAAGACAACTTTTAGCCACATTTCCAGACTTCAATTAAAATGCTACATGGGGAATGCAGAATATCAGATATTTTATTGTCATCAAGTAATCAGTGAGAGAGTTCAAGTTGGAGTGAAATCATCATGTATTCTGCAATTACAATAGTCCCAATATTTCCAATCCTCACCTTTCAAGGGCCAAACTGCATGCTTGCTTGCTGTGGTCATTAAAAACTCTGAAAACAAAGACAACATGTTAATCATGGCAAAAAACGAATGTGTGATTCTTGTTACTACAGTAACCTCAGAATCAAAATGGAACGGTTTTACAGTGATATCATGATATTTCATTTGGCAGAATCATTACATCATTGGTTACACTGAAAATTATCACATGTACCAGAAACTGACTCACCTAGTTTTAAGTTAGCAGGTCTGCCTGTTACGAGATGAAAAACTCCATTTAAAACAGATCTGCCTGATAGAAGATGAAAGAAAATTCCATTTAAAATTTGCCCTACTCAATTTCCTTCTCAGTCACATTTTACTCAACTTCCTTTTCAGTGATATTTTAACTTTTAAACAGCTAATCACTCCCATCTACAAATTAAGGCATATACACCACCAAAACATCCTTTGCCACCTTAAAATAGCTTCAACTAACCTGCATTTCTTCAAGCATGAATTCCGAGTCCTGAAATTAAGGGACAATACACAGTAAGACAACTTACATACAATTAAGAGTAATCCAAATCAAGAAAAGTTATAGAATGGCTATATTTCCCTTTTCAAGGTATAAACTGTAGTGTTACAGCCAGATACATCAGATAGGAGCGAAAGACTTAATACTGCTCATCAGTGTTAGTCTGCTGAACTATGTTATCATCATTGTATCGGCTTTTCAACCATACTTGAGGCAGGGCACGGTGGCTCACACCTGTAATCCCAGCATTTTGGGAAGTCGAGGAGGGTGGATCACTTGAAGTCAGAAGTTCAAGACCAGCCTCGACAACATGGTGAAAACCCATCTCTACTAAAAATACGAAAATCAGCCAGGTGTGGTGGTGTGCACCTGTAGTCCCACCTACTTGGGAGGCTGAGGCAGCAGAATCACTTGAACCCAGGAAGCGGAGGCTACAGTGAGCTGCGATCATACCACTGCACTCCATTCTGGGCAACAGAGCAAGACTGTCTCAAAAAAGAAAACAAAAAAAACATGCTTGAGACTGCTATACCTTTGCTTCTTGAGAACTTGCTCCACAAATTGCTCCTCACAGTGTAGTCAGACCGACTCTCCATACCTGCAGAAATTTAATCTCCTTTACCAATAGGTAGTAATAGGTAGATTTTTAAAAGATTTCCCAGCTACTGTTTCAGTTTAAGGTTAATCTCCATTTTCTTTCAGAGAGATTCCCATCTGTTTTAATTTTAAAATCATCACTAACAGTATCTCACTCAATAAATGTTAACATCAATTAAAAATATACCTTTAAGAGGTCTCCGACATCTGCACCTGAAAAAGTTTCACACCATTTCTTACAATGAATATCACTTACTTCTCAAAGTATTATTCAAGTATTTACTTTCAAAAATCCAATACTTTTAAATAACTGCTTTAATACAGGACTTTCATACTACCTACTTTACAAAATTTTGTAACAAGACAAATCCGTAACACAGTCATCAATTAGTAAGATCACATTTCAGAAGCAAGCCACAAACATGAAAGGAACTGTCTTCATGTCCTTACCCAAGCAAGCCATCCATGGATAAAAACGTTACCAGCTGCAATACAAATGAAAACTTCCATTAAAATGCTAAACATCATTAAACTCTTCTTTTCAAAGTTGTCTGTCACAGGGTTCTTCAGTGTTAACTTTGTCTACATGCTCAATTCAGGTCAGACATTTGATCAACATCATTACACAAACCCCGTTCCAAACATGCTCAAGTAAATACATAAACGCCATTCCAGTCAATATTCATCAGCCAAGCTGTAAGCTAGTAGCTCAGCAGTAAGCATATCAGTAGAAGCATTCTCATTAAGTCCATCTACTTACCAGAACCCATAAAGCTGGTCCAGGCAAGTTGGATTCCACCTAAGAAATTAAGAGTGGTCTTAGAATAGCCAGATGAGTTTTCTCCCCCTGCCAAAACTAACAAATGCCTTTAGTCAGTTAGAGCTAATTAAGACCTTCATGTTCAGTCAGTATTTGCTTATCATCATCCAGGCTGTATTTACCATCTTTCTTACTAATCGTAACAGGACGAGAATCTACTATTTATTTCATGCATTCAGCACTCATGGGAAGAGTGCATAATGCACATTAAGAATTTAACTCTAGAATGCCATTTGTGCTGTAGGCAGTTTGCCCAGTTACCTGTTTACTTGGATATAATTTCACTTACCATTTCAACTTCCAGGTTTCTGTGTAATGCCTACGAGATAAATTTTAACACAAAATTATCAGTAAATATTTTAATGCTAGATTGGTGGTACACTGCTTACACTATTCACAACAAACCACAGCCAACCACAGATACATCAGACAGATGGTACATCTCTTCATGATGCAATCTGCTGAACTATGCAACCATCATAGTACCTGTTTTTTCATTTTCTTCAGTATTAAATTTAGTATAAAAATGAGAGCAGAAACTCACATTTGAAAAGAGGAGGAATATTAATAAAATAAAGAAAAGGGGAGAAGAGAAACACTAATGTATGTAAGCATCATTGCTTTGGCTATTTTCTAATCCCTTAAAGTGTGAGAAGTATAAACGTTTCTCACCTGTGTACCAACAGCTTGCGTTAGGCTTGCTCTTTAGGACCTGGAAAGAAACGGCTTGATGTGAACTTAGGTGTGCTCTCTGTTACCCAAATCACCATTTTGGGTGCCTCAGTTAAGATTGGTGGTTAAGACTCTCGTCATCCTAGCAGTCAAGAGTAGCAAATAAACTGTCATCATTGTGGCACATCCAGTGACTTCAATTTTTTTGACAGGGAATTTTCAACTTACTTCAGCAGATATTCTCATCCTTCCTTTGGGACACAACTAGGAAACAAAAAGATGCAGAACAGTGAAAATGAACCTCATTACAGTCACATTAAACATTAATGCTGGTAACATTAAAGCCTCAGAATAGATTTTCAGAAATCCCTTCTGTCCACTACTCTTAAAGCATCACGGGCTAAGACCGTCTTTTAGATTTCATTTTTCCCACCATATTTTCTCCGATTCTTACCTATCCATAAGGCGCTATCGAGAGCCACATTGCATCTGCACCTAGCTCCATACCTAAAGAGAGATCGGGTACAAATTTTTAATTCATTGTTCCACGGTTCTTTATGTCGTGTTTTAAACTAACAGTGGCGGTAACATACCATTCATTATCTAGTGACAGGCAAAGGATACATTTAACGTTACAAAGGAGCATTGCACTCGCAGTTAAGAACCACTGATTGCGGGCAAGGCGCGGTGGCTCACGCCTGTAATCCCAGCACTCTGGGAGAACAAGTCTGATTGACTTGAGGTCAGGAGTTCAAGACCAGTCTGGCCCCCATGGTGAATCTCCGTCTCTACCAAAAATACAGAAATTAGCTTGAGGCGCATGCCTATAGTCCCAGTAACTTGGGAGGCTGAAGCAGCATAATTGCTTGCACCCGGGAGGCGAAGGTTGCAGTGAACCGAGATCGCGCCACTGCTTTCCAGCCTGGGTTAAGGAGCAAGGCTCGGTCTCAAAAAAAGAAAAAAGGACTGCTAATGTAAATATTGGTGGCACTGCGGACTACCACCAGCGCCAGCCTTTCCTGAGAGCGGGCGGCCGGAGGTTCGGACCACGGCCCTAACAATAGGTGACTCCGCTGACTCGGCATGTGCCACCATCAGAGCGGTTGGCATTCATCATCACTCTCAGATGTCCCTACCAACACAGGCTTCATCAGAGGCAGGGCACAGGAGCCGAGGCTTCTCCGCAATTCTACCGGAACAATATAGTCGCTGCTTAGGTCGCGCCTACCAAATGTGCAATCCCCGACCATCCTCGGCTTGCGGGCCCTGCAAAGGCGCGCGAGTGGCTTAAGAAGTCAGTTTAGGGTGACCTTAACTGGCAAGGGCTGGAGGGCCCGAAAACCTTCAACATTCATAAAGACAAAACCCACCTTACGAGAGCGGCCTCATACCTCGAAAGGACGAAACGGCGCCTGGGCTCCCGTATATTAGCGTTTTCTTTCGTAACGTCATGACGCACGCTCCCGGCAGCGACTGCTTCGGCTCCTCCCCCTAGCCGCCCTCAATCTTCCCCTCCTCCAGCACCACCTTCTTCCCGCCCCCTGAGCCCGCCCCTTTTCCCCGCCCTTCCTCGCCATTGTGGGCGGAGACATGACCAAGACACCGGGCTCCCGCCCTCCTCCCGATTTAGGAGGAAGAGCAGAGAGGGGAGGGGGCGCGAGGCAAGGAAAGCTCTGGGGGTGGGGGAAGAGGGGCGGTGTAAGGCTGAGTGATTTCCTTCCGGCACGTCGCCCGCTCCGTGGGAGGGGGTGGGGGGATTCACTTCCGGGACGGTGTTCCGGCCCATTCCGGCCCATTTCCACCCCCGGAGGTAGGTGCTGCTCCTTGACTGGACTCGGGCCCCACACCCTAGTCCCACTGCCCTGCGCCGGGGTCACGTCGTCCGCTCTCCGCCGCAGCGCACTCCTGGGGCGCTCACTACTTTCCTTCACCCCGCCTCCAGGCACCGGGCGACCTTCCACCTCCTTAGCCCCGGGCCGGGCTGAGCTGCCGGACCCGCCCCCTCGCGGGGCCCCTCCCTCAGGACCCCGGGATGGGCTGCCCCCTCCCCACCGCAGCCGGACACACCCAGATACGCACACCCACCTCCCGACGGCTCCCCGCCCGCCGCCGCCTGGAGCGGGTCCCCGGGCGCCGCCCCCTTCCTAGTTCTCACCTGAGCGCTGGCTCGCCGGCCCGACGCCTTGTCCCCCTCTTCTCCAAAGTTCCTCAGTGACGTTTTGCCCTTCATCCAGTTACCCTCTCCCCATGCTTCCTAACGCAGAGGAAAGCTGCTCAAGTGCTGGAGTAGCCAACCCCATGCCGTTCCCGATTCTCCCTCTCTCACCCCTCCAGTGCCGACGGTAGCGAAAGACTTTACTCCAGGGGCTTCCTCACTGGGGAATTGCCGGAAAGAGCAAACAAAAAAGGCGCTGGTGTAGGCTCCAAAATAAACACACCTGAATTCATGATGGCATCGACAGAGGCTCTTATTGGATTAAAAGTTTCAAAACAAACAATAACGCTTTGGAAAAAGGTCAGATTGGCTAAAGTTGATTCTTGAAAACAGTGTATACACTTCCCTTTGTGATAAGTTTGTTGTTAATTCAGGGCAGGACTGTGAGCTTGACAGAGTAAGTTCCTGAAGTTTCAGGTGTGGTGTAACTGTAATATAAATGTATAGATAGTGGATGTACATTGGGCTCAAGTAAGTGTCTTCCTGTTGGGATTTATACAAACTGTGCTTTCAGTAGCTGAAATTGTACTTTCAACTATTTTGTATACAGCTTCTGGTTTAATGTTTCAGCTATTTTTTAAAATACTGTAATGGAAAAATGTTGGCCATACTTGGTAAATGCTGTTTTTTTTCCATTGGATCTGGAGAACTAAATTTCAGGATCGAAGGAAGTATTATCACCACCTTGAAATTGCCGACTTCGAATTTGGCAGATTTACCCACCTTCCCTAATTCTGACAACTGAACTTTCACATTCTCTGCATCTAAGCTGAATCCTGGCACAGCTGTGGAATTTACCCTAACCTAGAGTTTGCCTCACAGCCCTAAAACCAAAGTCTTTTTGTGGGAGCTCTGATGCTTAAGCTTAGAATTACTAGCCTACATTTATGTGGAATATTAGTCCCTATATAAAATAATAAACGTAATTCTTGCAGCATGTAGTAAAATACTAAGAGGGATATCAAGCCATCCATGTAGAACTGCATTTATTCAGAAAGCTTTCCTCCTACAGAGAAAAGTTGTAAAGTTATTATGAGACTTTATGTTCAGTCTGCAAGTACCTTATAGTCAACATTTAAAAGTCCTTTCCCCTACTTTCTGTTGAACTTTCTATTTTGAAGTTATATATCTTATTAGTAAGGAAAGTATGGTCATAAGATGAATTTTTAGGAGTCTGAAGACCATTTTTTAGTTTTAACTGGATCCTTCTGTGAAACTTACAGTAAACCTGTTGGTAATTCTGTTTCCACATCTAAACATAAGGAAGGTATTTCTTTTTACCTAGAGATTTTGAAATTTTACCAAATACTATGTTTAAATACTTTTGAAATGGGAAACATCCGGGGAGTAAAATTATAATTATTAATTAGAATATGGTTTCTTTTTTTGGCAGGGTTGAATGCACCCTCAGGCACGACCATGGAGAAAGGTGGGAACATACAATTGGAGATTCCTGACTTCAGCAACTCTGTCCTGAGCCATCTAAACCAGTTGCGCATGCAGGGCCGTCTCTGTGATATTGTGGTCAATGTGCAAGGACAAGCTTTTCGGGCTCACAAAGTGGTACTGGCTGCCAGCTCCCCCTATTTCCGGGATCACATGTCTTTGAATGAGATGAGTACTGTCTCCATTTCAGTCATCAAGAACCCTACTGTTTTTGAACAGCTCCTTTCTTTCTGTTACACAGGGCGGATATGCCTGCAACTGGCAGATATCATCAGCTACCTAACAGCTGCCAGTTTTCTGCAAATGCAGCATATTATAGACAAATGTACACAGATCCTGGAGGGCATTCATTTCAAAATTAATGTGGCTGAGGTCGAAGCAGAATTAAGTCAAACAAGGACAAAACATCAAGAGAGACCTCCAGAGTCTCACAGGGTTACCCCAAATCTCAGCCGCTCCCTTAGCCCACGACATAATACCCCAAAGGGAAACCGGCGAGGTCAGGTTAGTGCTGTCTTGGATATCAGAGAGCTAAGTCCTCCTGAGGAGTCCACCAGCCCTCAGATCATTGAACCAAGTTCTGATGTAGAGAGCCGGGAGCCCATTCTTCGGATCAACCGAGCAGGACAGTGGTATGTGGAGACAGGAGTAGCAGACCGTGGGGGTCGGAGTGATGATGAAGTTAGAGTTCTTGGAGCAGTACACATCAAAACTGAAAATCTGGAGGAGTGGCTTGGGCCTGAGAATCAGCCTTCTGGAGAAGATGGGAGTAGTGCAGAGGAGGTCACGGCCATGGTGATTGATACCACAGGCCATGGTTCTGTAGGACAGGAAAATTACACTTTAGGGTCTTCAGGAGCCAAGGTGGCTCGGCCAACAAGCAGTGAAGTTGACAGGTAGGTTTGGTTTGGTTTCGTTTTCCCATGTAATGGCTGCTGTGTAGACATCACTAAAGTGGGTCCTCTGTAGTACAGAGAGCATCTTCCTTACCCGATTTTCTTGGTTAAAATAAGTTGACATTGGGGAAACTGGAGGTGCGTCAAAAGACTTGCATTCTTATTTTTTTTCAAGCTCCTAGTCTTGAAATATTCACAGTGCTGTGAGAACTGTGGTAAAGTTAGGCACTCCATGAATCAGAATAGCATCTGCAGCCACACTAGGATCAGTAATTGCCAGGGGCTTCCTCAGGATTCCAGGCAGGGAGCTGATCATCAGCTGGGAACCTGGCAGTATTGCCCTTCCTTGGTGTGTTATCACACCACTAGGTGGCCTTGGGAAGTCTCACTTTGCTTTGTAGCATTGCTTATTTTTCTTTGCCCCCACCTACCAAATTAGAGGAAGAAAGGTACCAGCAGTAATTGTTCTTTTCAAATTAGTGAAATATTAATTCGGAAGAAAAGCTTTTTGGATATTTTTTATTTCTTTTTTCCCTTGTCATGAGGTGGTATCTTCCCTGTTTTCATTGATGGATGACTGCTGCTACCACGGGCCTTAGAATCTCCCTTTTTTTCACCAGTGTTACTATGCCCTATGCGTTACTTTTCTCTTTTATTACATTGTATTTATTAGAACATTTCTTTTTGGTGGAAATACCATGAGTTTTATTCTTAGTCAATTGAGAAAAAGTCCCAATTGAAAGAAATATTACTACTTTAGATTGGTAATATTTGTTCTTTTCCCCTCCTAAAGATAAATTTAAATTGACCATATGAGCAAAGAAAACTAAAGAACTATTACTTTGGTTTGGTCTTGAGCGACAAATGTGTCACAGAGATTCAGATAGTGTATACTGCATCCACTTCAGGTGATCTTTTTATTTTATTGTTTTTTGAGACGAAGTCTCACTGTCGCCCAGGCTGGAGTGCAGTGATATGATCTCGGCTCACTGCGGCCTCTGCCTCCTGGATTCAAGAGATTCTCCTGCCACGGCGCCTGGCTTCAGGTGTTCTTGATTTGAGTATTGTCTTCCTGTGTCCTTATTAAAATATTCTTGAGCATAGAACTTCTTGTCCTCCTATGTTAGAACTGTATCAGAAGTTCTCAGTGAGGGGTGCACCAAAATCTCACAAATCACCAAAGAACTTATGTAACCAAACACTACCCCCGTAACTTATGGAAATAAAAAAGTTAAAAAAAAAATTCAGAAGTAATATCACTGCCAGCATAGTCACTCACGACTGTGATCCCAGCACTTTGGGAGGCTGAGATGGGTGGGTCACTTGGGGCCAGGATTTGAGACCACCCTGGCCAACATGGTGAAACCCTGTCTCTACTAAAAATACAAAAATTAGCCGAGCATGGTGGCATGTACCTGTAATCTCAGCTACTCGGGTGGCTGAGGCAAGAGACTTGCTTGAACCCTGGAGGCAGAGGTTGCAGTGAGCCGAGATCATGCCACTGTACTCCAGCCTAGGGAACAGAGCAAGACCCTATCTATCTCTCTCTGTCGCCCAGGATGGAGTGCAGTGGCGCAATCTCGGCTTACCACAACCTCCACCTCCCGGGTTCAAGCAATTCTGCCTCAGCCTCCCAAGAAACTGGCATTACAGGTGTGCACCACCACACCTGGCTGATTTTTGTATTTTTAGTTGAGACAGGGTTTCAGCATGTTGATCAGGCTGGTCTCAAACTCCTAACCTCATGATCTGCCCGCCTTGTCCTCCCAATGTGCTGGAATTACTGAGCCACCTTGCCTGGCCAACTCAATCTCAAAAAAAGGAAAATATGAGACCAGGCATGGTGGCTCACGCCTTTAAACCTGATGCTTTGGGAGGCCAAGTTGGGTAACTCCCTGAGCTCAGGAGTTTAAGACTAACCTGGACAACATGGTAAAATCCCATCTCTACTAAAAATACAAATAAATTAGCAGGGCATAGTAGCTGTAGTCGTAGCTACTCAGGAGGCTGAGGCACAAGAATCACTTGAACCCAGGAGTCAGAGGTTGCGCTGAGCCCAGATTGCACCACTGCACTCCAGCCTGGGCAACAGAGCAAGACTCTGTCTACCCCCCACCCCCTCCCAAAGAAAGAAGAAGTAATAGCAACTTCAATGCAAAGATTTTTTAATCTTCATGATCTATATCAACAGTCTAAAACAAATAACAGGTTATCCTGGGACCTGGGGGAAGAAACAGTCAAAAACCTGATAATTAAATAGAAGAAACAAAATTATAGGCCCAGTTTTAATGTATTCTTTTGTGGTCTCCCAGTATTTATGAAAGGAAGGAAGCTTATATTTAGCTTTGGCTTCACTAGCTCATATGGTCTGTTATGTTACTGTTAACGACATTTTGTGTTTATTAAATTTACTAGGGCTAACCTATTATTTCAAATCAGATTATGTATTAATTCCATGAAACTGTTTCTCAGTTTTCTGTTGCTTGGTTTGTTCTCCTTTCCTTAGCCATAGAATAAAGAGGGTCGACATGACCATTTTTCAAGTTCTTTGACACTGCTATTCTATTAGTCCCCTTTATGTTCCTCTTCCAACAGATTTAGCCCCTCCGGCAGTGTTGTTCCCTTGACAGAGAGACACAGAGCCAGAAGTGAGTCTCCTGGGAGAATGGATGAGCCTAAGCAACCCAGCTCCCAGGTATGGAGTTGGGGATTTAGAACTGCTGTGGTGGTTTGAGGAATTGCTACTGTGTATGAATAGAAAATAATGAAAGAGGAAAGATATAGAAGAGGTAACAGTGGCCCTGTTAAAGAAATACTGTATTTTTTTCCTGCGGGTAGCAGAATTTTAATATTAAAATTATGCAGAGACACCAGAAAAGAAAATTGCAGACTGATATTTCTCCCAAGCATAGATGCAAATATCTTCAAAAGAACATTAACAAATTAACACTGATGATATACAGAAAGTATAATACAATGTAATAAATTGCAATTTAATATAGAAATATAAAGCTGGTTTAACATTTTTTTTTTTTTTTTTTTTTGAGACGGAGTTTTCGCTCTTGTTACCCAGGCTGGAGTGCAATGGCGCGATCTCGGCTCACCGCAACCTCCGCCTCCTGGGTTCAGGCAATTCTCCTGCCTCAGCCTCCTGAGTAGCTGGGATTACAGGCACACGCCACCATGCCCAGCTAATTTTTTGTATTTTTAGTAGAGACGGGGTTTCACCATGTTGACCAGGATGGTCTCGATCCCTTGACCTTGTGATCCACCCACCTCGGCCTCCCAAAGTGCTGGGATTACAGGAACATTTTTAAATTAATCAATGTAATCTTCCTTAATAGGGAAAAAGTGAGAAATTACATTTGGCAACTTTGATAGATACAGAAAAGAGCAGTTGACTAAAACTCTTAGCAAACTAGAAATACAAGGGAACTTTCTTAATCTGATTGAAAGTGTCTATCTAAAAAAATTATAGAAAACATCTTTTTTTAAAAATATATTTTATTGCAATTTAGGTTTTGGGGTACATGTGAAGAACATGCAAGATTGTTGCATAGGTACATACATGGCAGTGTGGTTTGCTGCCTTCCTCCCCATCACCTGTATCTGGCATTTGCCCCCATGTTATATCTCCCCAACTCCCCATCACCTGCTGTCCCTAGAAAACATCTTAATGATAAATTATTGAAAGCTTCCCTTGTGTAATTGGGAATGGACAGAATGTCTGCTATGACCACTTCTACCCAGCTTTTTATTTGTAGTCCTAGTCAGTGCAGTAAAGCAAGAAATATAAATTCGTGGCCGGGCGTGGTGGCTCAAGCCTGTAATCCCAGCACTTTGGGAGGCCGAGGCGGGTGGATCAGAAGGTCAAGATATCAAGACCATCCTGGTCAACATGGTGAAACCCCGTCTCTACAAAAAATACAACAAATTAGCTGGGCATGGTGGCACGTGCCTATAATCCCAGCTACTCAGGAGGCTGAGGCAGGAGAATTGCTTGAACCCAGGAGGCGGAGGTTGCGGTGAGCCGAGATCGTGCCATTGCACTCCAGCCTGGGTACCAAGAGCGAAACTCCGTCTCAAAAAAAAAAAAAGAAATATAAATTCATAGCATAAGGATAACAAAGAAAGAAATAGAACTTTTGTTGCTAGTAGACAGCCTGACATGTTATGTAAAAAATGCAAAGTGAAAAACTATATTTGATTACTGTTTTTATTCTTGCTTGTGAGTGTGCAGGAAAATACACTATTGGTGTCAGCAGAATTTGGGAAGTAGAAAAAAATAACAAGATTGTGGAACTCTTTTCTGATTATAATAACCACTCTGTAGACCTAAGAGTAATAAAAAATAACCCCTGAAAACTACATGCAGGTAATTTACAGGTAATTTAGAACCTGGCATGGAAAGTCTGATTTTATACGTATGTGTGTGTGTGAATATATACTATATATAGAGAATACACACAAAACACAGTTACCAAGTTATCAACTTATAGCATTTTATTTATATATACATATATGTAGACTTTTTTTTTTTTCTTTGAGGCAGAGCCTCGCTCTGTCGCCCAGGCTGGAGTGCAGTGGCACAGTCTCAACTCGCTGCAGCCTATGCCTCCTGGGTTCAAGCAATTCTCCTGTCTCAGCCTCCTGAGTAGCTGGGATTACAGGCACCCACCACCACACCTGGCTAATTTTTGTACTTTTACTAGAGACGGATTTTCACCATGTTGGCCAGACTGGTATTGAACTCCTGACTTCAGGTGATCCACCCACACACCTCAGCCTCCCAAAGTGCTAGGATTACAGGTGTGAGCCACCACGCCTGGCCTGCATGATATATTTATAAACAAATTGCTTACGCCTTTTTTTTTTTTTTTTCTGAGACAGGGTCTCACTCTGGTTGACCAGGCTGCATTGCACTGGTGCAATCTCAACTCTCTTTAAGCCACAGCCTCCTAGGTTCAGGTGATTCTCCCACCTCAGCCTCCTGAGTAGCTGGAACTACAGGTGCGAACTACCATGCCCGGCTAATTTTTTTTTTTTTTAAGTGGAAATGGCCTTTCACCAGTTTGCTCAGGCTGGTCGCAAACTCCTGGACTCAAGCAATCTTCCTGTCTGACTCCCATTTTGTTGGGATTACAGACGTGAGCCACCGTGCCCAGCTGCTTACATATTTTTCTGTGTGTTTGCTATTTCATGTACTGTATCTTGTCATTTATTTTCTTCCTGAATATTTTGTTAGACCAACACATTCTAGAAAGGATAGAAATGATGTGTTGTTTTTTTTTTGTTTACTTTGTAACTCTCTTTAGCAACTAGTATGAGTAGTTGATATATATATTTTTTTTTCTTACAGGTCTGAGTGAATGATTTTTTTTTTTTTTTTTTTTTTTGAGACGGAGTTTCGCTCTTGTTACCCAGGCTGGAGTGCAATGGCGCGATCTCGGCTCACCGCAACCTCCGCCTCCTGGGTTCAGGCAATTCTCCTGCCTCAGCCTCCTGAGTAGCTGGGATTACAGGCACGCGCCACCACGCCCAGCTAATTTTTTTTTTTGTATTTTTAGTAGAGACGGGGTTTCACCATGTTGACCAGGATGGTCTCGATCTCTCGACCTCGTGATCCACCCACCTTGGCCTCCCAAAGTGCTGGGATTACAGGCTTGAGCCACCGCGCCCGGCGATTTTTTTTTTAAAGGTAGTGAACTCACCAAGTAGAACACAATAAATTGTAAACATTTTTGTCTTTAAAATATAAAAACTTAGGCTGCGTGCAGTGACTCATGCCTGTAATCCCAGCACTTTGGGAGGCTGAGGTGGGCGGATCACCTGAGGTTGGGAGTTCAAGACCAGCCTGACCAACATGGAGAAACCCTGTCTGTACTGAAAATACAAAATTAGCCAGGTGTGGTGGGGCATCCTTGTAATCCCAGCTACTGGGGAGGCTGAGGCAGGAGAATTGCTTGAACCCAGGAGGTAGGAGGTTGCAGTGAGCCAAGATGGTGCCACTGCACTCCAGCCTAGGCAACAAGAGCGAAACTCTGTCTAAAAAAAAAAAAAAAGAAAAACACTTGTGGATTAAGATTACATAGCTGTTGTTTTTAGCCTCTGCATTACACTGATAGTATCTCATCTAATTTTTATATAGACCACTGAATTTTTTATTTTTTTTTTTATTTTTTGAGACAGAGTCTCGCTTTGTCACCCATTCTGGAGTGCAGTGGTGTGATCTTGGCTCACTGCATCCTCCACCTCCCGGGTTCAAGCAGTTCTCCTGTCTCAACCTCCGGAGTAGCTGGGACTACAGGCACAAACCACCATGCCCTGCTTATTTTTGGATTTTTAGTAGAGACGGGGGTTTCACCATATTGGTCAGGCTGGTCTTGAACGCCTGACCTCAGGTGATCCACCACTGCCTTGGCCTCCCAAAGTGCTGGGATTACAGGCATGAGCCACTGTGCCCAGCCTAAACCACTGAATATTTATTGCGTGCCTCGTATAGTAATAGCAGTAAGACGTTGTTACAAACTATGTTTTTTAGTTTTGATAAGATGTTAGAGAAAATATTAGGAGCTTGTAGGAAAAGTAATTTCACTCACATTATTAGGGCACTTTTTTTCCTCGTCTCTCAAATATGATATGATAACAATGCAGAGGGGGCAGTTAAGCAGATACAGACATACGTCATTAATTAAGACAGTATATTCTGAGAAATGCATTGAAATGCATTGCTAGGCCATTTTGTCATTGTGCAAACATAGAGTATACTTACACAAATCTAGATGATATAACTTACTAGACACCTAGGTTATATGATATATCCTCTTGCTCCTAGGCTACAAACCTATATAGCACACTACTCTACTGAATACTGTAGGCAGTTATAAAGCCATAGTAAATCTTTGTGTATCTAAACATAGAAACGATAGAGTTAAAATATTGTATTATAATCTTAACAAAAGCACTGTTACATATGGGGTCCATCATTGACCAAAATGTTGTTATGTGGTACATAACTGTAAATTTAGTAATGAGACAGACGTTACAACTAAATGGGGGCATAAAACAGACTAGGGCTGGGCGTGGTGGCTCATGCCTATAATCCCAGCACTTTGGGAGGCCGAGGCAGGCAGATCACCTGAGGTCAGGAGTTTGAGACCAACCTGAACAACATGGAGAAGCCTCCTCTCTACTAAAAACACAAAAAATTAACTAAGCCTGGTGGTGCATACCTTTAATCCCAGCTACTCGGCTGAGGCAGGAGAATCGCTTGAACCTGGGAGACAGAAGTTGCAGTGAGCGTAGGTTGCCGTGAGCCAAGATTGCGCCATTGTGTTCTAGCCTGGGCAACAAGAGCGAAACTCTGTCTCAAAAAAAAAAAAAAAAAAGACTAACAAATACCAAAAAAAAATATGTAAGACTATACAGTATAGACTTCAGTAATAGTGTTGTGGGACTAGGATTGCTTAAAAGGTGATGGAATCAGTGTCCACTTAAGGAAAGTGTTATCAGGATTTTATTTGTCTTTTTTTTTTTTTTTTTTTTTAAGGCAGGGTCTTGCTTTGTCCCCCAGGCTGGAGTGCAGTGGTAAGATCATGGCTCAGTGCAGCCTTGCCCTCTCTGGCTCTGGCAGTCCTCTCACCTGAGATCTTGAGTAGCTGGAGCCACAGGCATGTGCCACCACATCCAGCTAAC